ACCCAGATGTTGCTCGTGATCGTGAGGGGCTCGCTGTGTGAGATTGCGCTGAGGTCCTGTCTCTCGTTGTGATTGTTTTGCTACCTAGGATGCTGACAGTGAGCATGTGTAGTGATCCATTTTGTTGCCCGTACACACCACTCTCGTGGCAAGCACTGACCTTTCAGGTGAGTAGTCTCGACGTGTTGACAGAAAGTTAACACAGTGGTAAAAGCGGAGTAACGGGAAAATCATCAAAATAACATCATGCATCAGTTATATATAGTCTCAGAAAAACAGCGCAGGTGGAAGCTCTGATGCCGCACCCATATCTGATTCTCATACGTAAGTTGATGCCCTTTCTGGGAACATAACTATTGTCAAACCACTAATTGCAGAGATTTGATGGGAACATTGCCCCTCGCAACAATGACAGGATTCGTAAGCACATTCACACGCCTTGAGCCGTATTTGGGTGCCGATGTGCCGTGCTGTGGCGTGATAGTGCCTTGATACTTTGTACGGCTGGCTCTGGCTGGTGTTGGGCTTTGGCGGGGTCTGGCTGCGGTCACCTGAGCTCCTCCACATTGTTTGTGCGGGTGATTGCACTGGCGAGGACTGGCTGCGCGAGGGGTGCCGTGAGAGGGCAGCATGGGCTGGGTGAGCGAGCATGTCTGTACACAATTTATGGAGTTGCCCTCGTCAGACATGCGATGACCTGAGCCGCGGGCAGCGAGGGTTGGTGGTGCGGGCACAATGTCAGAGTTGCTTGCGGGCTTCCGGTCGTTGGAGGAGGAGCGGTCGGGGCCTGCGAAGAACTGGGGATGGAGCGGGGCATCCACGATATCGCACTCGCTAGAGGCCGAGTCGCGACAGCGATGGCTAGAGGCTGAGCCGGCCTCGCCGCCTACATTCGTGTCGCAATTCCATTCCTGTCTGGTCCCTCCCGCATCAATTCATTACGCTTTCTACATGCATGAGCCAGCCGCCCATGGTTCGCAGGTTAGCCGCACTCGCACACACTTGGACGGAAATATCAAATGACAATGTAATTCGGCGTGCGCCACACATTGGGAGGGTATGCGCATGCCCGTCGACAAGGTAATAGGACGCGCATCCGCGCAAATAGGATATGCGTACAGTTGCGCACAAATAGAATATGTCTACAGTAGTGGGCTCGCATGCTTAGACAATGCCAGGTTGAGGAGAACACCGCGCGAGTGCAGCACCCTCATCCGGCAAGGATACGGATGCACGGCGGCTTCGCGCGACTGAACATTGTGCGTGTGTGCGCGCACTCAGCTGGATGTCGCGCAGTAGAGCCTTCGACGCTGTCCACAGCATCAGGAAGCAGCAGACGGCACGCAACAGACGGCTGCGAAAATGGTAACAGGTGGGAATCATCTACTAGGGCACTTCTCCATGGAGACGGCGCCTCGTACGTACATGTGCGCAGCGCGCCGAGAGGCCCACAATGCGACGAGTCTTCAGGCACGTCTTGAGGCTTGTCCCTCGAACTCGAATGACCGGGGAGGACGCAGGTCGGGCACACAGCGCAGGCAGGGCAGCTGCGTCCATAGGTCGATGTGCCCGCGCTGTCTGTTGCACCGACGTCCGGCGAGCAGCGCGTCTCGCCGCCTGGACGTGACCTGGCGCGAGGGTGAGCTGACGCGCGGCCGTTCTCCCGTCGCGTACCTCATCTGATGCTAGGTCGTGAGGGAGATGCGGGAGACGCGAGATCACGGTGAACCGTCACGTCCGCATCCGGGGAGCATCCGTGCGAGCATGACGGGGTGCTTGCATGTACCGGGAGCGGGAGGCAGGAATCATCTGCTCGGGGCATGTATTGCGGCGCAGGGATGTCAAAGGAAGCGATAAGCACAGAGGGAGATGAAGAGATGGGGCGCCCACCCTTGTAGCTGTAGGTAAAATGTCAGAATCGGGGACGGATGAGGCAAGGGATGGGCAGGAAATACGCACGGAGGAACAGCCGGGCGGCGCAAAGCGGGTCGGACGCGGCTGATGCGGAATCCCCATATTGTGCGTTGCTAGGCCGCCTGTCCGCGAGCAACGAGCGCCGATGGAGATGGTCCGGGCGTGGGATGCACCAGAGAGGCGGAGGCGTATAAGAAAGGGAGTAGCGCGAGGGGTAGCAGGCGTGGTCGCCTGCTCGTCGTCGTCGTTGTCACCTGCTGGTTAGCTGCTTACGATGGTTTGTGGGCATTGACGACGTCGTTCAGTAGCTCTGTCAAGAGGAGTAAGCGTCGGATCTGGGTAGGTGACTCGGCGATTGCGTGTTGTACAGACACTGATAGCGGTCACGTTGCAGAATACAAAGTACGTACCTCGTTCGGAGTGCAAGACGTGTGCTCACGAGCGACGTCTCGCAGCGGGTATGTGTATCGCTGCTCGTCAGTGGTTTTCCGAGTCCGGGTATGTGATGGTGCACCTGTACGCGATGTGCGCGCTGACGATCACGGGAGAGAGTGCACAGAGACAGTTGACGGGACAGCTATTGCGGCCGGTGTTGCAACGGACAAACAAGAGGGCAGTGAAGGCGGCCGTTGGTGTGTTGTGCGCCGGTGTGAGCACGCGGGCAATTGGATGGAGGAGTGACGTACGAGCGGCCGACTGTATTGCTGTAGAAGACTGCTGCGGGAGTGCGGAGGCGTGGACGGCCAGCCAAGGGGGCGACCGAGAGGTCCAACAGACAGCAGAGCGAGCCGCAGTCAAGCGAGGGCGAGACCGATCGACCGACCGACCAGCGAGTGCGCGCGTCAACGGCAAGCAGAGCGCATGTTGAGACGCAATGACAGACCGCGGCTGACAGCCGGTCGTGCGCGCACGTCGCATGGACCGTGCAGACGAAGGCGTCGTGTTCGGATGACCTGAGATCGCCAGCATGCGTCCCGCCACTCCTGCTGAGCAACGTCTGCTCGCGATCGATGCAATCGGGCAGTCACCGGGTGTCCGCGGTGAGATCTCGATGTTGCTTACCGCACCACGTTCGCTGATGACAGCCCCAGTGCGTTCCGCGAGCGTGGATATCGTGCGAACTCGTCAGCGCTGCACAACACTTGTGCGTCCGATGGACGGGAATACACGCACCTGCCGTTGTCGGCGAGTATATGACCGTTCCCACTGGTGCCGCCCGTGCTGACCGTATACCCCACAGGCTCTGAGCACTGCGCACTCGGTCGCCCAGATCTTGACACGCGTTGTACACAGCAATCGTGTGCCCGCGGTCACGCATGCTGGGACTGTGCGCGCGCTTCCCGTCGTGTCGATTCTTCAGTGGTCAGCCGAACATCATGCGCCGATACCCTGATGTTCCTTACGCGATGCGTGTGCCGCGCACGTCCGCTCCGCACGCGACGTACTGACCGGGGTCTGTTCCTAGCTCGCGCCCACACCAGGGCCTGCGCTTGCCACCGCCGCAGTTGGCCGTCCGCGTCCCTGCGCACCCGCGCATCCACGCATCCACACAACGTATGTGTCTGGGCTCCTGTCTCTGACAGCGCCGCGGCTGACCGCCGGTGCCACAGCATCGCCGTGCCGCCCTTGCTACCAGATACGACGCGGCGTTCCACACGCCCCTGCCCGTCTGGTCATTCTCGCTCGCATTGGAGGCGGACGCTAGCAGCCGCTCGGGGCGCGCTGGCGAAATCGTGCGGGACTTGAAGCGCGCGCGCGCGCGCGTAGGGACTCGCAGGTGGTAGGTTCCGGGCTCCGGGATGCTTGCGGTGGCGCATTCCATACAGGCTAGGCGTCCGCGCAATCGTTGAGACGCGCCCGCTGAGATACCCGCCGCGTGAAGTAGCCAAGAGACGATTAACGCTGTCCGGACGTCGGGCAGGTAGCTGCGCGCGGCCTCATTCCATCAACATAGCGGCCGCGTGATCGTCAAGCGACCGCCGTTAGATACCCGCCGCGGGAGAAGACGAAGCGGCGCGGGTGTGAATGTGTGCGTCCGCGTCCGACGGATTATGTCGACTATGCCCGGGCTCGGCCCAGCGTGGCGTTGTTATTTCTGCGTGCCTGGACACGCTGTACAGACGCAAAGCTTACCGAAGCTGTTCAGCGCACGCAAAGCGCGGGCAAAGCAAATGTGCGAGAGATCATCCTTTGCTGAACCCGGTCCGTTGCGTTGTGCGTCAGACGTAGTTTGGCGGCGCGGGCGATGTGTGACCGATCGACGGCGCCCGACACCGCGGACGATTCGTGTCCTGGTCGCTGCTCTGACGCA